AGATGACGAAGCAGACCCAGAGGATAAAGTGGCAGCAGCAACATAACTTGTTCCAATCTTGCGGGGAGGACGAGTAGGACACTCTTTAATGACATGGCCAGATTTCTTGCAATAATTGCAAACTTTTCGTGGACACTGAAGAGCCATGCGACCAAACCCCTTACAGCTGTAACATTGCACAATAGACATATCCCGAGGTTTGTACTTTCCTTGAGCCACATAACCAACGGGAATCGGTACTGAGGAATTCTGATGTTCCAAAGAGTTACGAGTGATAAGACGTTCCTCCCTCAGTAATTCACTCAAACAATTATCCAGTGTAGGAATAGACTCGCGATTCATTAGGTTGGACTGACAGATTCAAATTCAGCTCTCAATTTCATAAGAAATTGATTCCTCTTGGTGACGTCGTGGACAGCTTGTACGGCCTCCAAACTTTCTGGTGGAATCGAAGTATAAATGATATCTGTATATTCAGCCTAAAGATTAGAAAATCCAGAATAATATTCTTCAATGGAGCGAGATTCCTGACAAAAATTTGCTAATTCAAACTTCAACTTGAGTCGCCGAGCATTGTTATTTTGAGTATAGATTTTCTTCAAGTATTCCCACATAGAACGAGCGGACTTATAGGGCCAGAGATTAAGATCAATATTAGCCTCAACAATACTGATAATTGAGGCCATAATTCGAGAATCCTTGGTTTTCCAGGCAATATACTTCTCTTTTTCTGTCTCTCGATCAGGAGGCGGAATGCTTCTATCAATATGGCCCCACAGATCTCCTTTCCCTTCAATCAACAACTGAAAATGAAATGCCCATGACGAGTAGTTCTTCCCATTAAAACGAATACAAACAGAGTCAGTTTTCTCAATTGACATGGTGAAAATAGTATAGAGGCCGCCAAAAGTAAATTGATCACCAACCCAATGTTGTCCAAGCCCAAACAAAATAACCCGAACAAAAGACAATTGAGAATTGAAATTACCCAACAAATTGGCCCAACAACCAATAATTAAATTGCCCAAGCCCAACAACTATTAACCCACTTGCCCAATAGATTCAATTCATTCCACAAAAAGAACACAATTTTGGGTCAGAATTAACACAAACACTAGCGACGCAGACAGAAAGAAGTCGACGCTGGATTGAAGAAGACATCACCGAGACTGCCGACTGTGGAAACTTGAACCAATGCTTCGACCGACGCAGGCGAGAAGACGAAGAGACGTGAAATCAACGCTGGATTGAAGAAGAAGAAGACATCGAAACTACCTGCCAGAAAATCGCCTGAGACGTCGACCTTCGAATACTATGAACCGCGAGCCACCACTGTAAATCACACGTACGAGTAAGTAATTTTAGGGCTCTAATACCATGACAAGTTTTTGCTGAATGATTTTGTTGTATGTATTCCTTCAATTTATAGAATATTACAACAATATACAAGGAAAGATTTTGTGTTATACAATTAAAGAAATTCTGGATTATATGCAGGTTATAAATGACAACTAAATAAATTAAATATCCTCTGATATTTCAATCTTCCCGACATAGTTTACCAGATGCTCCAACTTCTTAAGTTGATGTCTTGCTTTGGTCAAGTCCCCTTCATATCCAGAATCCCTTGTCACTGATTTCATGAGATCCTTTTCTTTCAGATAGAAATCATCCATTGTCAGGGTGCTGTAATTTTTCTGTTATGTTTCTTTTCTAGACAAACAATAGAAGTCCTGAAACAATTAACGAATACCTGTAAAACACAAATATGGAAGTTATTCCAGTATATTAAAGTTGATATGTTTTGAGTAAGCCTGATTGTCCTATATCTTGGTTGCAAAAGTTTCTTTCAGCTTGCAATGTGGTATTAAAACTTTCATTTAAAGTAATCTTAATGAATGAGTTCCATTCTCAGCATTGATCATCAAATTAATTTAAAGATAGGTGTTAAAGAGTACTCAATATCTTCATGGACAAACTGAAAATATGACAAGGGGGCTTTGGGGAAAAGTAAATGTTTGGTTTGAGGATCTGGTGAAGGATGAAGTCAAATTTCAATTTCTGAAGGGATTCTCTGAATAAATATATATTCACAATGTAGATAAAGAGGGCAAAAACCCATTTGTAGAAGCTGTCCTGGATAATAGACGATGGAAGTTGCTAACACGAATGAGGATTAACATACTTAGTAAAAGGCGAGGGAAATAGATTGGTTGCTTCTTCTGGTAAGTATGGTATCCAAAAGAAGTTTTGGGGTGCTCTAAGGGAATTAGTCTATTGCCATAATCAATCTGTTGATTTAACTTTTTGAATCCAAGGCGAAGAAATTTTGTTGAAAGACCTGTCAATGCTACATATTCGAGTTATTTTTGGATCCAAAGAAGATTTTTAGTTTTTTGATTTTTCATTGAATTAACTGGAATATGTTTGTCCTTTTAACAAACAATTTATATTTCAATGTAATTTGACTTTTTAGTTAAATATTTTGCAGGAGACATTCATGGTCAATATTCTGATCTTCTTAGACTTTTTGAATATGGTGGATTACCCCCAAAATCTAACTATTTATTCTTGGGGGATTATGTGGATCGGGGGAAGCAAAGCCTGGAAACAATCTGTCTTCTACTTGCCTATAAGATAAAGTATCCTGAAAACTTCTTCCTTTTGAGGGGAAACCATGAATGTGCATCGGTCAATCGTATATATGGATTTTATGATGAGTGCAAAAGAAGATTTTATGTGAGACTCTGGAAAACATTCACAGATTGTTTTAATTGCCTACCTGTGGCAGCTGTTATAGTAGTTAAATATTTTGCAGGAGACATTCATGGTCAATATTCTGATCTTCTTAGACTCTTTGAATATGGTGGATTACCCCCCAAATCTAATTACTTATTCTTGGGGGATTACGTGGATCGTGGGAAGCAAAATCTGGAAACGATCTGTCTTCTACTTGCCTATAAGATAAAGTATCCTGAAAACTTCTTCCTTTTGAGGGGAAACCATGAATGTGCATCGGTCAATCGTATATATGGATTTTATGATGAGTGCAAAAGAAGATTTAATGTGAGACTCTGGAAAACATTCACAGATTGTTTTAATTGCCTACCAATAGCAGCTCTAATAGATGAAAAGATATTGTGCATGCATGGGGGACTCTCTCCTGATCTGCATGATTTGGATCAAATTAGAAATATGCAACGTCCAATAGATGTTCCAGAAACTGGTTTACTTTGTGATATACTATGGTCAGATCCCAGTAAAAATGTCAAAGGGTGGGGAATGAGTGATAGGGGAGTGTCCTATACATTCGGTCCTGATACAGTAACCGAGTTCCTTCAAAAGCATGATCTTGATCTTATATGCCGTGCCCATCAGGTTTAAATGTTAATTTTTGTATTATTCTACAGTAATACAGAATCTCAGTGACTTATTATCCGTTTGATTAACTACAGGTCGTTGAAGATGGTTATGAGTTTTTTGCCAAAAGACAGCTTGTCACAATATTCTCAGCCCCCAATTACTGTGGAGAATTTGACAATGCCGGTGCCATGATGAGTGTGGATGAAACTTTAATGTGCTCTTTTCAAATACTGAAACCTGCAGAAAAGAAGCCAAAATTCGGATTTGGGAGCATTGCTACAGCTAAACGAGGAACTCCTCAAACAAAATCAAAGGTAAATTTGTGCTGTGTCTAAATATATATCTATAGTGTTCATTGAATTGAACATGTATGAAGAAAATTTGAGAAGATAACTATTGAGTCTAGAGAGAAAAGATTAGAAAAAGGCGGGAAAATGTATTCATTTTCTGAAGAATGAAAAACATGTATTACAGTTTGTCAACCACCTCTATAAATAACTGAATTAACAACATTACAGCTAGCAATCAACAGAATGCTAGCTGGCAATGTGAAATATCTATGTCTAATACTCCCCTCAAGATGGCCGGTGAATGTCAAGAACCGCCATCTTGGAGAGCAAAGGGAGTAAAGAAGCAGAGGGCAGTGCTTTGGTGATGCTTCGTCCGTTCATGGGATGTAGGATTGCTGGAAATGTGTGGCTGCTTGATTATCACAAAAAAGAGCTGCTGGTCCAGATTGTTGGATGTGAAAGTTAGTAAGAAATTGATGAAGCCAAACAATTTCACTGGCTGTGGAGGCAAGAGCTCTGTATTCAGTTTCTGCTGAAAATTGTGAGAGAGTGTCCTGCTTCTTGGATTTCCAAGAGATCGTAGAGTCACCCAGGAAGATGCAAAAGCTAGGCACAAATTTTCGAGTGTCCAAGTAGGATCCCCAATCAGCATCTGCAAAGGCTTGTAGTTGGAAATCAGAAGAAGCACAGAAAAATAAATCTTGTCCAGGAGAGGCTTTCAAATATTTCAGAAGGTGATGTGCTGCTTCCAGGTGAGATTGCCTAGGAGAAGATACAAATTGGCTAAGTTTATGGACAACAAATGTGATATTTGGCCGTGACACAGTGAGGTAGAGTAAGCGTCCAACTAGGCATCGATAGGAAGAAGCATCAGGAAAGAGGTTACCATCAAAGGAACTGAGCTTAGTTTTTGGATCCATGGTTGAAGCTGGTTTACAAGCAAGAAAACTAGAATCCTTAAGCAACTGTAAAAGAAGAACCAACCTTTAGTGAAAAGGGGCTAATCTGACTTGGATTGTATGAAACCATGTAGAGCAAGAGCCTGGGAAAACTTAGAAAACCATTGTGGCGAAGCTTGTTGAAGACCATATATTGACTTATGCAAACAGCAAACTAGTTTCTCCCCCTTACTACTAACCTTCTTGTGTGCATCATAGCTCAAGGTGTAACGCCCCAAAATTTCAAATATCTTGAGGTGTTACCAACAATAATTTTTATGTACTTAAAATGCGGAGCTATAAAATTCATTCTTTTTCTAAATAAACAAAACATTCATAATTTAAATTCGAATCATAAATCATGTCTTTAAAAACAATTTAAACATTCTCAACTACTGTTATTGGACAAAGCAAACTAAGAAAAGATAAAAAGCAGTAAAACTTAATATTGTTCTCGTATGTGGAAATCCATTAGCAGTCCGCTGCACTATCCCGCCACAGATCCAATTGACCCGAACTAACCTGTAAGAATTGTAAGAGTGAGTATTTTGAAAACACTCGTAAGATACGTGCAATTTCCATACACAATTATATGCAATAAAATAATACTTCATACCGCTCTTCTCTTATGGAGTATCTCAGTGACCAAGCGAAACACACATTTTAGGTCATCTTAAATCCCGTAGGATTTTCTATTCTCTTTCTAAAGAACTCGAAGGTCTATTGGCAATTCATGCATAAATTACTGAACATAAAAGCACAAGGAAATGAACAACTTGCACAAAAAGTATCTTACCTTGATTACTGAAACGACCTTTTGATATAAAATATACTTAGAATTTAAAGTTGTTTTCTATATGAAAACTGCTGTGCAAAATTCTGTGTGGTGAATTGTGAAATATGGGCACACTATTTATAGGGGAGAAACAGTAGTTGAGTCACAATATAACTGTGATGAAAATCATGTTTATCTAACCTGATAAGAATGACTTTTTATTAAACCAATCATAATGGTATAAAGTAATATTATTTTAAAAATATCTATATACACACACGTGAACATCTATTGGAAAAAATGAAAGGCAAAGTTTGGATAGGATTTAACATTTTCAATTTAATGATAAACGTGATTATCTAATAAAATACTATATTCTATCATTAATTATCTTAAAAGGTTTAATTTCATAAAATAAAATAATACATATAAATCATGCTTTTTTGAATTGAAATATCTTGGGTTTAACTCATCTGAACTTACATTTTCTTGAGCCCAATTTACGTTTTTTAATGCGAGCTACAAAATAAGCCCAATGTTGATATACTTTTGGTCATTCTATAAAAAGTTAAATATTTGACCCATTTAGAACATAAGAACTTAAAAACTTTATTTTAGTCCCTCAACTTTCAAAATATAACATATAGAACAAATAATTTTATTCTAAAATTTATGGGGTGTTACACATGGGAAGATCCATATACACTTCCTCAAATAAATTCCCATTTAAAAAGGCAATATTTACATCTAATTAGAAGAGATTGCAACCTTTTATAGCAGCAACAGCAAGTAACATTTTAACTGTAACTAACTTTGCAACCGGAGAAAATGTTTCAAGAAAATCCTTCTTGTTGTGTGTAGCCCTTGGCTACCAATCGGACTTTATAACGTTCAATACTACCATCTGATTTGTATTTTATTTTGTAAATTCGTTTGCACCCAATTGAATGTTTGTCTTTAGGAAGAGGTTGAACAGACCATGTGTGATTGGACTCCACAGCATCTAACTCATAGCTTCTCTCCAATTTGGATATTGAACAGCTTGATGGTAGAATTGTGGTTCAAAATTGGAAGAGACATTGAGTAGATAGGTATAATGAGAAAAGGAGAGAGATGTATAAGAAATGTAATTATGCAAATGATATGGAATATTGGAGGAAGAGTTGCTGAAGTAAGTTGCAGTGATAATCACGTAGAAAAGAAGGCGGTTTAATGGTCCTGGAAGTCCTTCGAACAATTGGTTCATGTACTGTGGTAGTATCAGGCATATGGGGAATATTAGAAGGATGTGGAGCAAAATTAGAAACAGATACAGGGAATATGGACAGATTAGAGGCTTGTATAGGCAGGACTAAATTTGGGAATGGATCAACAATATCAGTAGGATGAGGTATGGACTGAAAAGAAACAATGACTCATGGAAAATTACATCACGAGACACAAAGAAAATTGGTATTTCAATATTATAAAGCTTGTACCCTTTTATGCCTGGCACATACCCAACAAATATACATGCTACTGCACGAGGATGAAACTTGGTTCTAGTGGAGGGTAAAGTTGAGGCATAACATAAACAGCAAGAGACTTTGAGATGATTACAATCAACAGAATGCTAGCTGGCAATGTGAAATATCTATTAGACATCTTCAAAGTTTGTATTTCTAGGATGATACAACAGTCTGTAAGAAATTTGACTTGAAGAGAAGAATTCCTTGTCAGTGAGGTAGCAGATAGTAAGTTAAAATGGAATTGTGGAACATAAAGAACATCATACAATATCAATGAAGGACTGGGTTAAATTGATCCAGAAAAATTAACTTGTATGCAAGAGTTGTTGGAAGTAACAAATGAATTTGAAATGGGAACTATATTTTGGAATAGGGATTGATCAAAGCATACATGGTTTGTAGCACCAGAATCAACTATTCAATGTCCAGGAGAATGAAGCACATGATGATTAGAAACAGAGAATGAGATACCTGATGTGTTTGTTATTTCACATCAGTTCCTGTGTCAGCTTTGGCTGATGCCAGATGGGAGTTCAACATGGCCAATAGGTGTTGATATTGGTTTGAATTCAAGGTTTGGACAAAACCGTCTATGTTCCCGGTAGTGACTTTCTGTTTTGCCTTGTACCCAGGAGGATAACCATGAAATTTATAACATTTGTATATAGTGTGACCAGTAAATCCACAATAGGTACAAACTGGACGATCTTTTTTCTGATATCTACCAGAATATTGGTTGTTATTGGATCGATTATCTTCATTTCTGATGTAAAAAGCTATAGGATTACTCTCAGTCGATGTTCTTGCCACATTATTCATAGTCATCTGACGTTCTTCTTGAGATACAAAAGAAAATACCCTGTTGATTGTGGTATAGGATCCATAAGCAATATTTGGCTACGTGTTTGAACAAAGGAATCATGAAGCCCCATCGACGTCACATACTCAGTTTGATAGTGATTAGCTAAAGCCTTAATTCTTCCACACGTACACTTTCCACATGGGCAGGATGGTCTGTAATTGCTCAATTCCTCTCAAATTGTCTTCAATTTAGTGAAGCGCCTACCATTAGTTGAGACTGAGCATGAATCATCATATCACGCCTCAATTGGAAAATGCGTCCTTAAGGTCCTTCCAGATTTCATAAGCGAACATCAAATATAAAACATTTGCTGATATTTCCTTAGACACGGAATTAAGTATCCAGGAGATGACTGTTATTATTGCGAGTCCAAGCATTGATCAGATTGTCATTACTTACAGGTTTTGGAATAGATCCATCAATGAATCCTAGTTTGTTTTTCACGGATAAGGCTATCATCATACTTCTGCTCCAAGAGGCATAGTTGTCACCAACTAATGACTGACAAACCAGTATAGGCCCTGGACTTTCCGAATGATGAAGTTAATAAGGACTCAATCCATCATCAACGATTGAATTGCTCCCTGAAGAAGCTGAATTTTTTGGTAAAATTGAAGCATCAGTCGCCATGGAGATGATGAACCAGATATTAGAATGAAGTCGGAATCAAAGATTGGTGTAACCAAAACTCTGGAGAAGAATTAGGAATTATGCTCTGATACCATATTGATTCTAGAGAGAAGATGAGAAAAAGGCGGGAAAATGTATTTGTTTTTTGAAGAAAGAAAAACATGCATTACAGTTTGTCAACCACCTGTATACATAACTGAATTAACAATATTACATCTGGCAATCAACAGAATGCTAGCTGGCAATGTGAAATATCTGTCTAATAATAACATGCTAATAAAGTAAGCACAGAGCCCAAGAACCGGGGCTATGCTGACAAAAAGCATCTGAATGTATGATTTGTCAAAATTTTCACTGAGCTTTTATCACCGAATTTAATATTTTGCACATAATTTTTTTTCCCTCTTTTCTTAACCTGCTTTGTTTGCTGTATGGTTTCAGTCAATATGGAAAAGTAGACCACAAAATGCTGAAGAGAGGACATTTGTCTGATTTATTTTATCGTTATTCTTAATAGTTTGCAATGTCCTTGACATGATCTGCTTTAAGGGTGTAGATCTTTCTCCCTGAATAATCTTTCCTTCAATGTGCATAATTGATATTTAAAGAAAGTATGTTGTACTTTTTTGGGGATAGAATATTAAAATTGTATCTTTGTTTTCATTTTTATTTGCAGTCATTTCTTGGTGCAAAAATAGGATGAGTTCAATTAGCTTGAGAAGATATTCAAGAAAATTGGCACTTGAGGTCTATAGCATTCGGGTATGAAGGGAAAGCCTTTGAGTTTTCGGGATCATCAGTTTGATAGCACAAATGATGTATAGAAGGTTTATTCCCAATTTAACTGAGAAGAGCCTTATAATTTTACAAAATGTATAATAAGAGCCAAGCAACCAAGGACTTGGATTCTTTGGTCAACAAAGATTGTTTCCACCTTAATCGTTGATTTAGAACAATGAGAAAACAAAGAACTGATTTTCTGGTCTTCTTAATAGTGAAAGAAATTCTGTTGGTGCTTTCATATGTGGATGAAATATAACAGTCGTGTTATCTTTCTCTGAACTTGGACTCTGTACTGTGAAGTTCTTCACTTGTGTGTCCGTGCATTTTGATAGCAAGTAGTTAACAAAGATTTTAAGGTTTGCTTGTCGCTAATCTCTTATGATCTCTACAAGAAGATCACGATGAGGTTCTGTGTATGATCAGTCTAGCTGTCTTTTTTGTTATGGCCAAAAGTGTACATGTTCAGAATCTCTCTCGTAAATTGTGTTTGGCTATGAGTTTTAAAGTGGTTATCTCTTCAGGTTTGCTTGTGGTTTAAGGATATTGGATTCTACTAGACTGTAATCAGAAAAAAAAAATAAATAAATAAGAAATTGTTCTTTATGCTTCAGTCTTTTCCAATACTACCTATCGACATGCACTAAATTCACTTGTGTGGATTGACCTTATGGCTCCAATATTACCTATCATCAAACACTAAAAGGCACTTGTGTCAACTGACCTTATGGCTTTGTATTCTAGAAGGGGTGCAGAATTTTCTTCAAAATGTTATTGTATCAATGTTTAGTAGCTTATTTTTTAACAACACAGAGAATAGAAGAGACTGATATAAAGGCTTAGCATGAACGTAATCTAGGGTTATATCCGTATTTAACCTACATGAACGCATGCATACATGATGATACATGCCATTGAGAAATATAGATAATGTCTCTCGCGTGTGACAACTTAAATTTTTACACGAGATGGTTATATATAACACAACATCAGCCAAAAATCTTGTCTTCTAAGTTTCTTTGCCATCTACTGTGTGAAAATCGTAAGCACTAGACTAATTAAAACATCAATGCATGAATTTTGTTGAAGTAAACTAGAAATAAGTTGTTCGACTCTACAGGTAAAATTCTAGATGGGTCAAGTATAAAATATGAACTAACATATAAGGGTGGATTTGTTCTCTTAATAACATTGGTAGTTTAAGATAGAAGTTTAAGACTCAATATGGTATCAAAGTGCATTATCTCAAATGAGCATGTTTATTTCATATTGATGTGCTTAACGAGCAACTATGAAGAGGTGAATTGCATAAGAAATGTATTTTTGCCATGTATAAGCACAAGTGTGATTAGAAGTAGGGTAGAATATGTGTTCATGTGAATAAAGCTCAGAATGCCTCATCTTTATAACAATCTACCAAGAAAATGTAGATCAAAGTACAGTGGTGTCTAAGTTATGTATCACTATCCCCATGTGCTCGTATTGAGTTTGTGGTCAAGTTTGTAATATGTATTGTATAAGCTTCAGGTATAGTTTGCCTATATATAAGTCTCTCTCTCTCTCTCTCTTATATGGTATTAAGTTTCCCTAGTTTGAGTGCCGTTTTTTTTTTATTATTTTTTTTAAGAAAATGGGTTTTGTAATAGTGGTTTTTGAAGAATGTGGGGTTAGAAAGTTGGGAAATGTTATGTGTTTACGTATAAGATTATTTCGTGGAAGAATAAGCGGTTGAAAATGAATTTTGATAAAAATGAGTTTGGGGGATATATGGGACTCAAACAAGGGCAGTTTGTGTTCCTGTTTGACAACCAATAGAACAAAACTTCTTTTTTTTTTGACATTTCCTACTTTTTAACAACGCATTTTCCAAAAAATCACTATTTCAAAACTCATTTTAATATTTGTTAAATAGGGATACCACCTTCGTAATTGTTATTTTGGTATCAGTGCCATAAACAAATAATCTGTGTTATCATCCTTATGGGTCTTATGAAATGTGATTAAAGTTAATTGTTGATTTTGATTTAAATTTTAGTTAGTGATTTTAGTGATACTAAATAGGGGCTAAAAGTTTGAAGTACTGAGAAAATATCTCATAATAATCTTTGTATGGAAACACATGGTTGCTACTTGGAGGCGGCTTTGTGATTGCTGTTCCTCGGTTGTATGCTCAAGTTTAATGCGGATGTTAATTTAAGGATATATTATTTGTTTAGTCATTCCATAGAGATAATATTGACTCATATGAATTAGGAGGAGGAGATATAAAGAAATCTTAGCTTAAAATATGAGTTTAATTTCAAGCCCCCAAAATTCATTCTCTTCAAGTTCATCTTTATCCCTCTCATCTCCACCTACTGAGAAAAAATTATTGTCCAAAGTATCTTTATGAAATATAATACTCAGATGAAGATTACAAAATCCCCATAATCAACATACCTCGTTTGAATGCAAACAAAGTAGTCACTAATCTTTCACGTCAGTCCGAAAGAGTATTCAATCTCAATCAAAATCTATTTCTACCAAGGAATTACCACTAGTCTCTCGGCTCCAATGGAGCTTAGTTCTCCTACAGCTGAAGTAGGACAATTGATTCCCTTGAACCTCCAAGAAGATTTCCCACCGCGGTGGAAAATGTAAGATTATACCCATGTTCATTTTGAAGTTGTTTGAATTGCAATTACTCTCCATCAAAGAAATGGTATTCCCGTCGTAACTATGTTTTCCCCTTTTGGATACCAATTTTTTGGAATACCAACATGTCTTTATCGCTACTATCCAAACTATTTGAATATTGGAACTATATGGGTTACCATATTCTCAAATTTCTATCATAGGCCCCCATGTCTCTAGTAATAGGAAGGTCCAGCTAAATCACAGGTGCTCCTCGGGGAATCATGTTGTGTACATAATCATGTTGATGAATATAACCTTCCTACAAGATGTTGTGAATTGACCGCAAGATAATAGCAAGATGAAATAAATAAAACAAACAAGAGCACAGAGATTATTCATGAAAACCCAAGGCAAAAAAAAATCACGGGCAAGGGAAGAGAATTTCACTATAATCAATAACGAATGTGTTTACAAATCTAGATCCAAATACTCTCAATTAAGATCTAGGCTTTCAAAATGTTGTTTGAGTGTTATATCACCAATACATGTTGTGGAGAATATATATGAACCCTCAAACCAAGTTGAGAGAAAATAGAGTAGAGAAAACGCGTCAAAACGCGAAACGGGCTTGGGCTTAGGTCAGATAAATACGCAGCAATCGAGCAGCAGTGCAAGAGTTGCACGTAGGGCGCTAAGGCGTTGACTCTCGGGACAAATTCACCCAATGACCTATCCAAACTCCCTTTTCCAACCAAAACTCCAATCCCCATGTAATTTCGACCCCTTTTAAAGTGAATACAACCAAAACTCCAATTACCCAATAGAATTCGGATCACATTATAAAAAATCTCCACCTTAAACCAAATTTCAATACAAGGAATTTCAAAACACATCTCTAAAGTAAACACCCTCCACCTTTTCCAAACAAGCTCCATTAGGCTAAATCAATGACAAACACTAACTAAGTTCAAGCAATATTCAAACTTAGCAATAATAAGTGATTTTGTCATTATATCAGCAGGATTCCCCTTGGTCTCGACCTTGCTCACTACAATATTACTACAAGCAATCACATCACGCACAAAGTGATAATTTACATCAATATGCTTAGTCCTCTTGTGGAACATCTTATCTTTAGTCGAAGGATGACAGTTTGACTATTACAATACACTGTAGAAATTTGCAAGTTTTCACTAATTTCACCAACTAAACCCCTCAACCACAGCCTTTTTACATGCCTCTATTGTAGATAATGCTACTGTATTTTGCAAAGTAGCCTTTCAACTAATAGTACAACCTCCAAGGGCAAACGCATACCCTATACGTGATTTACTCTTATCAAGACCCCCTGCATAATCTAAATCCACGTACCAAATGAATTTATCTGTCTTTCTATCAAAATGCAAGCAGGCATTAGTAGAGCCCCTCAAGTATTTGTATATCCATTGCACTATTTTTCAATGTTCATTTTCAGGATTTTTCATGTATCTACTAACTGCACTGATTGCATGTGTCAAATCTGGACTTGTACAAACCATCGCGTACATAAGCGATCCCACTGTACTTGATTAAGGATCTCTACACATATAATCATTGTCTTCATTTAACCGAGGACACAAACCACATGACAATTTAAAGTGGATAGCCAAAGGAGTCCGACAGCCTTTGCATTTAGCATATTGAACCTGTGAGGTACCTTCTCAATGTACCCCTTTTGACTCAAATACAATCTGTCAATTTTTCAATCCCTCAAGATCTCTATACCAAGAATCTTCCTTACTGCTTCAAAATCTTTGGTCTTAAACTCTTCATTGAGTTGAGCCTTTACTTTTCAAACTTCTGCTTTATCTTTAGCTACTATCAACATGCAACAATAGATATGTAACCAACCTATCATCATACTTTCTAAAGTAGTCACAGCTATCATAACCGCTCCTGAAAAAGTTATGAGTAGTCATGAACGAATAGAACCTCATGTATTATTACCTCAGTGACTACTTCAGTTTATACAATAACTTCTTTAACAAGGACACATAGACCTCATTTCGAGTAACTATAAATTCTTTTTGTTGTTGCATGTAAATGTTCTCCTCAAGTTCTCCATACAAGAATTCTCTCTTGACATCCATTTGCTCAAGCTCCAAGTCATCCTTATCCACAACCCTAAGTAAAGCTCGAATTGAACTATACTTTACAACTGGTGAGAACACGACTGGGAAGTCAATTCCTAGAATCTGATTGTAGCCATTAATTATCAATCTGGACTTATATTTGGCATCTACAACTCCTGATATCCCTTCCTTTCTT